TGGCTTGGTGGAAGGGAACACAAAGAAAACCAGGAAGGGAAAAAACCCTATATACTCTTAAGTATCCTGATTTCTCATAATATGTATGGTTGGGGGCTGGAGCTGCTTCTCCAGTCCCAGAGCACTTTGCTCATAGCTGCATTTGCCTGGCATGAAGTTGCCCCCCGTGAACTGTACCTCCTCCCGGGAGCTATGCCCTTTCTGCATCCTTGTTCTCTTGGACTTAGACTTAGTCCGTGGTTTGCTTTAGCCAATAGAGTGCAGTGGAGGTGACACTATTGTCACTTCTGAGCCTGAGCTTTAAGAAGTCCTGGCAGCTTCTGCTTTCATGGGATGCCTGAGCTGCCACCTCAAATCTGGCGGCCAGACGGAGAATGTGGGAAGGGAGGGGCCCTGACACTGCGCTATAAAACCTGAGAAAGCCAGATCACAGGGACAGGTGAAGCCACACACATCTGCCTTCGGCATTCCAGCCAACCCCCAGCTTTTCAGGCTATCCTGATGCCTCACCCACAGGATCCTGAGAAATAATAAAATGGCAGTTGTTTCAAGCCACTAGGTTTTAGGGTAGTATATTAGGGTAGTAAGTTTTGGGTGGTAGTAGTGAAGATTACTGGAACAGAAGTTATGTGTTCTTCTTTCCCACATCACTTAAATTACTCAAATCGATGGACAGATGTCTCAATTTTCTTTGAAATTTCATGATCTAGTTCAGGTAATAAAGCAGTTTTTTTTTTTCCCTAGGATATTAGGAAATTAGCCACTAGTGGTAGTAGTAACTATTTAGGGCATATTACATCAGACGCTTGTGCTAAAGCACTTAAAGTAACAAAAATGTTTCCTATTGTTTACCTTCCCTTCCTCTCTACTAGAAAATTGATACTATGGTATCAATTTCATTTGTCCATTTATTCTTCAGTAAAGTCCCAAATATCAAACATGCCAGAATTCTTAGCTGCAAGCTATAGAAGTCAACAGGCTATTTTAAGCAGAAAAGAATTTTTTTTTTTAGGATTTTGAGAGAGCGAGCACGAGCGAGGGGGAGAGGGAGAAGCAGACTCCCCACTGAGCAGGGAGCCCGATGCGGGACTCGATCCCAAGACCCTGGGATCATGACCTGAGCCGAAGGCAGACGCTCAACTGACCCACCCAGGCGCCCCTAAGCAGAAAAGAATTTTTAAAAAAGAATATTGAATAGCTTAGAGAATTGGGACAGGGCTAGAGCTCTACAGCCAGGAACAATTATTATGCCTGAAATCACCATGACTTTGGCCTGGGGAAGACACAAGCTGCTGTCCTTGAAGCTCTAAATGCTCTACTAACAAACACTAGACACCATTCCCCGCCGCTGCCAGACTTCCACACAGAGTTGAATTGGGAGATAAATGCAGAGTCTCTTCCAGTTTCAAGTGAAACCGGTTCCGTGCCCGTGAGAGGGTACAGCAAAGCACGTATCAGGCATTTCATCTGGGGTGGTGGGAGGGGAGGGCAAGACCCATGAGCTGGGAGATTTCCCCAAACCTAGAAAGGGGACTGAGGTACAGACTGGCCAAAAGAACAGCGTATCTTCTGCCAAGTTTTAGATCAGTGCTTCTTAAATCTTAACATGTGTATTAACCACCTGCAGCTCTTGCTAAAATAAAATGCACATTCCAATTGAGAGGGCTGAAAGAGTGCTTTACTAAGCCATATGGATCCTGAGGCACAAAGACAAATCAGTAATACCCCTGTCTTTATTTAAAATTTTGGTATTTGTTCACAATGGAATTTGTACTAATTTATATTTTATTAAGTAATCTTTAAGCCCAACATGGGGCTTGAACTAAGCGATCCCGAGATTGAGTCACATGCTCTACCAAATGAGCTAGCCAAGTGCCCCAAGTACTATTTTTTATTAAAAAAAAAAATAATAGAACAGTATCTTAATCAGTTTTGTGGCACCCAAGGTGTGAGGGCCTCACTCACCTCACTCATGTGCCCTGGTGTGTAGGCCTGTGAGTAAGCAGGTCTGGCGTGGAGCCGGAAACTGCCTTTCCCACAGGCTTTCAGCCCCAGCCATTGCTGGGTTCTACAGCTCACACGTGGAGTAAGGAGGCTGTGTGGTGGTATTTTCTCTGAGATGCAGACCATTCAATTCCAATTTAGGATTGAGATAAACATTTTATTTGCCCCTACTCATTACTTTATGACATCTAGTAAAAAATACAAGGTAGCACATAAAATGCCTTTAAATATTTCTTTCTCAACAAAAGTTATGTAAATATGAGCTTGCTTTTAGATGGTCATTGAAATTGGCAAAAACTTCAACTTGAAAAGGAAATTACGTCAATGCTGAAGATCTCGTAGGTATTTTTTATTGAAAGATCACTTTCCTTCAATAATGGACATTTTACATTAAATCTTTATACCAAAACCAAAAATCTCAAAATAATATTAAAATCACACTATTTTCCATTGTTTCTACTTAATTTTATTATTGGTAAAAATATGGCAAGACACTTGTAACTAATGTTTCTGCTTTAAAATAAGCAATTAAACTAAATGTCACAAGAAGAGACAATGAATACATACTATAATTTGCTGATAACTGGCTAAAATAACTTAATTAATGTGTAAGAATTGCACTTGAAAAATTAAAAAAGTAAACAAAAAGCTCGTTATATATATATGTTTATGAACAGAGATTAATCTGTTACCTTTGCCAAGAGAAGTATGTTTAAGTTAAAAAAAAAAATTTGAACAGCAATTATTCATTTAAAAAAAAGTCTTTTTACAGAATTTCCCCCATAGTTTGTTGATCAGAAAAGACTGTAACACAACTAAAGCAAAATAACACTTCATTGGTATTTAGTGCAAATTTGGAGTTATTTTACATGAAATATTAAACATGTACCCTTTAAAAGTTGCTGGAAGTGCTGTGACTGTCCTGTCCTCAGTGTCCTCTTTTACTTTTGAAGACTTTAAGAGAAACTTTGTAACTGAGGTATTTTCTACTTCGTATGTGCTCGGTGCTATGTGAGCCAGGAGCGGTGGGCTCATCTAGGATTCTTCATCAGTGACCTGATTGCTTCCCCTGTTCTCCACCCTTACTGGGGTATGATCCAGAGCTGACAGGATGAAAGAAAAAGTTAAGAATTATCGTAGCACTATAATACCAGGGCTCTAGGTGGAAAGATTCCCATTAAAAAGTGTGTTATGTTAGTAATGAAATCACTGAAAACTGACAAATGCCTACATGTTTGATTTAGGAATGAACATCAGTGTGGAAAACATGGAGTGGAATATTAATTGCTTCCCACAGGAATAAAAGAAAATTAGTTACACTGATTCTTAATAGCTGGAAGATCCAGTATATAGACTATTAAGTCCAGCTTGCAGGAGTACAACAGTCCGTGTGACCGTATGTGCCACTAACCAGGAGGCTGAGCCATGGTTTCCAGACAAGAAAATGCCTTCTCTGTGGCGAATGGCAGAAAAGCAACAATACATTGCCTGTCAGATGAGCTCCGCATAGAGGAAAATGATGATGGATACTGGTAAGATGTGTTTTTGCAGGAGCGGGAAAAGGAATGCAGTTTCCCATGCATTGGGCAAAGGATGTATACTTCTATTATGGAGTCAGAATCTCAGAAAAGGAGAATATGCCAACACCATGATATATAAAGTCAGTATTGGCAATGTGTGGGTTGGCTGGTAGGCCTGTGCCTCATGCTTGTGAATTGCCATGTCCCTTCTTTGGACCACACGGTTTGAGTAGCAAGGCCACTTAAGACTCGGAGATGTTTTCAAAGGTAGCAAGGTGAATGCTCAAAATTACAAATGCTATTGAACATTTGACTCTAAATATGAATTACTCAATTATGGTAAAGAAACTTTCCACAGAAGTCCTTAGTACAAAGGCTCCAAATCTTGGCTTCCTGTTAAATTTTCCCTAAAGACCTAAGGGAATATTCAGAGACCTTCAATGTCAGTAGCCTCCCCTATCTTGTAGTAAATGTCTGGTTTGGGGGATTGGTTTTTGAATTTTTCCTCTCACTTCTTTGGGTAAAATGAGCCTCCTCTTCAGAGTTTTAAAAGCTAGATTACCCTGGAAGCAGTGTATCCCAAGGTTCTCCTTTGGGATGTATCAGAATTGGTCTGAAGAGTTTTGCCAGAATAGACCTTCCTGGCCCAGACTCACAGGATTGAATTTGGAAGGCAGGGGATGGGGCCAGGACATCTTAAGAACAACTGCACTAGGTGGGGATTCTCAGAGCTGGGAAGAGAATCTGTGGCTTCCTTTCTTCATGATCCTAAATAAAAATGTTCCCTAGGAGCCAACTAGGCCAAATGTTTAGCACGTCCTGAAGGAGAGTACTGGTATGACAGGACCTGTTGGACATCAGTGTGGTGGAAGTGTGAACAGATTCACTTTCTGTGTTATGGTTTCAGATCAGGAAGGATTCAGAAAAGCAGACGTGGGCAGAGTTGGCAGCCAGACTGTTAGGATTCCCAGTTACTCAATGCATTCAGGAGAACGGGCGTCTTGTTTCTGTCTGTATGACCCCTTCTTTCGCCATTACTGTAGAAAAGGAAAGAAACCACCAAACATATGGTAGGGTAAATGTTCTAGATAAAAGAAGTTGGAGAATCAAAAAGTCATTACAAAGACTGGCAAACGTCCTGTTCTAAATGGTGTGTGGGTGTGTATGTGTGGAAGGGCTGTGGGAGGGGCGTGGTAGGCTCTTATGAAAAGTTCTTAGTTTGGAGATTTTGCTTCATGTGGTCCCTCGGATGGAACTTTCTCTTGAGAATGAGGAAGAGCTCAAGGTACCAGGACCTAGGATTGTGCAAATACACTCTTTACAAGGAATGCCACCGATTCAGTTTCTGAACATTATTTTAGAGCCTATAAAACATGCTGCTTTTCCCTAGCGTGGTTTCTTTACCTCATATAAAAAATAAATAACAAGGGCAAGAGAAGAGCCAGTAACTGGCAGTAGGAGTGGATAAAAGTCACTCTACTTAATGATCTGTGGACAGTCGCTCCAGGCCTTGGCTTTCCTTTTGGCCAAAGCCAGCCAGGCTGGTTCTGTTGACACGGGGGCAGCATCTGGGGTTGAGAACCTCTTTGTGACTTCTTTCACCAGCGGCGCGGCGGGGGCTGAATCCGAGATCTCCACTGGATTGCGTTTTGAAGGAAAAGGATAAGAGTGAATCAGAGCCGCATTCTGATGTATTAGGAGTGCAAGATTCAGAAGGGAAACCCCGGTGAAACACTGAGCATCTTTGGTGAGAATTAGGGAAAGAAAGCGATGTGATCAGAACTACTGCATACAGAATTACAGTGCAGAAGCCTAATTTTTTATGCACAGAAGCTATGCCTACATGGTAAGAAATAAAAGGTAAATGCTGTGGTTCTAGTTATCCAACCAGTCAGTTCCATGAAGAAAAACATCAAACCAGCAGTCTGAATTTATTGAACTGGTGAGGTCAAAACTTACCCTTCTCCACCAGGCAGGCCCGGGGTGCCCCCTGCCCGAGGCCCCAGCTCCTGCCAGCCCTCACCACGTTCAGGCTTGCCCCCCAATTCTTTCTGTACCAGACCTTAGGAGGCTTCTTAAGATGAGGAATCTGGACTTATCTGCGTCCTATTTAGTACCCATGGCAATGGCCTACACATGAACAGAACTCAGGAAATACTGATGGAAAAGACAAATACCTCAGAACAAAGGTTTGCTTCAGTGAGCTGAAGCCACTCTCTGGGCACGGCCACAGAAGTCAGGCAGAGAAAAGTATGATCTCTGACTTTGGAATTTTATTTTGAAAGAATGATCTCTCTGACACACCCATATGGTTAGAACCCTCGAGTCTTGGGTGTAAGATCATATGAAATTACGCCCATGAAGGTTCTTGAGAAATTACATAGTGCTCCAAAGTGGTTTTAAAATATAGTTGTTGTTCTCCTCACCAAAACAGCATATAGAGCTTTAAGGGCGAGACCTCTTTACATTTCCATACCCAAGCTAGCAGGTAACAAAGGCATAAAACAGCCTAGGTCTCCAGGGTGGGTGCCCTCTAGGGCACAGGTTGCCCAGAAGGGAAAACAGACACCCTGCTAACCCCTGGGGGAAAGCTTGTTCCAACTCCTATCCATCCTTCAAGTGATTTGTAACAAGGAAATAGTTGGAAACATTACAGGATCACTTTAACAGAATAAAGAATCTTTTAAAAATGTCTTTTATGTGTCATGAACATATTAACAGCAGTGTTTCATAAAGGACTCAGCTGAAAAACCTTGCTCTAAAGTCCTGCTGGTCAGAAACTTGCTATTTGAAATCCCACCAGTGAGTAGAGACCGTCCCACTTTTGCCTGGAAACAGGACCCTGAGTCCACTCTTGATCTCAGGTTTGAGGTCAACCCCTTTTATATACAACTCCTGCTCTGTTCTGAACCCATCAAAACCCCATTCCACTTAAATTTTACCTAAACTTCACCCTTTCCCCCAAATCCTATTATAATCTCGCCTCTTCCTTTCTTGAGATGATTCTCACAGTCTCTAGTCTCCCTCGCAGGAGGAAGGTGGTGAACCTCATGTTGCTGGGACTAGAGGCAGTGGGGCGTGGAGAGGGCTCGTTGAACACGGAGGAAGTGATCGGACCGGTTGACAGCACACTGGGAGCTTGAAACTGGCCACAGTGGGAGGATTTACCCCATGAAAACTGTCAAATGCTACAAATCCCAGGTCTCCCCACTCCCTGAAGGGTGACTGTTAGCCATTTACCATCACATCACTGATGGTGGGAAGTCCCGGTGGGCTTTATCAGATGAGCTTTCTCAAAGGGTGGACTCGCGGGGTTGTGAGGCAGCCTGGGCCCTAGAGGGCCGCGTGTGCTGACCTTGTGGTCACACTCAAGGACGGAAAGCAGCTGTGAGACCAGCCGTGGACCTGCTCTCCCTACCTGTCACAGATGTAGGAAGGGTGTTGGCCTTTTTCAGCTGTTCTCTGCGCTCAAGCCTGGACGCTGCCGTCTCTGGCTTCTTCTCTTCCGGCTGGGTGGTGGGCTTGTGCAGGGACCCCGCCCTGCTCACGCTGCTGCTTCCGGGCTGTGGGCTGACACTGACCTGGGTGGACAGAGTCAGGGTACAGGTGTTATCAACTGAAGGACATGGAAAGACTGACCGTGCAAGGCCGTGGGGCCTTCTGCCTGCCGGCCCCCAACCTCTGCTCCTGAAGGAGCAGTGGGGACTGCACGTGGGAGCAATGTGGGGCCAACCGTGACCCCCAGCCATGGAGCAGCTCAGCTCAAAGGTCTCAGAGGGAAACCCACTTTCCGAAGAGAGGACCAATCGAACAGACCATAAAATCAGGGTCACAGAGCAAGACTCCTGATTTTCCTCCCAACTCCCTGCTCAAATACAATCAATTTCCCTATTTCCCGTGTAACTGCTATGCGCATGGATTGCTGCTAGTCGTCACGGATTCTAACAAGTCAGGTTAACCTAAAAGAATAAGAAAACCAAAGAAAATTACTAATTGAACATACTTCCCTGGTTTAACGGTGATCAGTTTATTTATTGCTCTAAACCTAAATATTCTCCACCACTCCTAGCTAGCCTTTTTTTTTTTTTTTTTTAAATCCTTGTGACCTAAAAGCCAAATTCAAGGAAGGCAAAGTTAAAGCTGAAGACCTAGTGACTCACGTTCTCTTTGGAGAGCTTTTCGGCCTGTTTGGCCTCCCTGGCTTGCTTCTTCTCCTCTCGAGTTGCTTGCTGCTCTCGAAACCCCTTCTGCTTCTGCAGTGCTAATGTTATCCACAGTGGTTGCACAGTTTCAACTTTCTCCGCAAGTTTGGAGCCATCTAAAGAGTGCCTGCTCTGAAGAACCGGCTTTTCTGTGGAAAAAGAGATTGTGGTATTGTGATGTCTTTTTTTAAAGATTTTATTTATTCATTTGAGAGAAGCAGACTCCCATCCTGAACAGAGAGCCCGATGCGGGGCTCAATCCCAGGACCCTGGGATCATGACCTGAGCTGAAGGCAGACGCTTAACCGATTGAGCCACCCAGGCGCCCCAATATTGTGATTTAGAAGAAATATATGTTTAGGGGCACCTGGCTGGCTCAGTTGGTAGAGCATGTGGCTCTTGATCTCCGAGTCGTGAGATCAAGCCCCACACTGGGTGTAGAGATTAAATAAACTTTAAAAAAAAATTTTAAAAAGAAATACATATTTGGCCTTTGTGCTCATTTCTAGAGCTCAGAGCTCCTAAAACCCTTGGGATTTCGTAAGTGATGACAGCATAAGGTGTCTCTTACTCTGTTAACGAGATGACTTTGGGACCGATACCAAGGATGCGGCTGGTGGCCAGAGGAGCCAAGCATGTGATTAGAGGGGTTGGATCTTTTGTTCCCACCCCCAACCTCCAGGGAGGGGAGAGGGACTAGAGACTGAGTTCAGTTGCCAGTGGCTGATGATTTAATCAGTCGTGGCCACGTAATGAAACCTCCATAAAAACCCAAAAGGACAGGGTTCAGGGAGTTTCTGCTTGATGAACACATGGAGATTTGAAGGGAGAGGTGTGCTCTGGGGGCAGGGAAACTCCACGCCCTTCCCCATATCTTGCCCTTCTGTGTCATTTCCATCTGGCTGTTCCTGAATTATATCCTTTTATAATAAACTAGTCATCTAGGAAACAAAATGTTTCTCTGAGTTCTGTGAGCTGCTCTAGCAAATTAACTGAACCCAAGGAGGGGGTCACGAGCATCTCTGATTTAAGTCGATCAGAAGCACATGTGATGCCCTGGACTTGGGAATGGCATCTGAAGTAGGGACAGTCTTGTGGGACTGAGTCCTTAACCTGCGAGGCCTGATGCCATCTCCAGGTAGACTGCGTCAGAACGCAGCTGAAACGTAGTGTCTGAGGACTGTCTGGTGGTGTGGAGACCGCCCCCCCCATCCCCCCGATGGAACTGTGATCAGAACCAGGAAAGGCAAAAGCAGGTTTGCAGTGAGACCGCTCACTTATCTTGATCCTGCACCCCCTACAACTTGTGACATGAACTATTTAACTGTCCTTTCCTGACGGGAACTCTGCACCGATGCCTGAGAGACTTCTCTGGGTGGGGAGGTAACATCTTTGATGAACAGAAACACAGAAGCATTTTCCTTCCCTCAAAATGGAAGTAAAAGTAAGATCTCCGGTGTCAGAAAATCTCAGGCCTACAGGGAACCCAGGCTGTTATCTGATTTATTGTTCTTATTTATCACTTTTTAACCCCAAACATCCTATGCGGAACCCCAATGGATGAAAGAGGTCCAAGGGAGGCTGCTCTACCTAGTGAGGCTGCTGGGGGCCCAGGGCTCTGAGGGACGCAGCAGGGAACTGATTTTGGCCCAGTGCTCTCCTCTGACAGACGGGAGTGTGAGCGTGCTGTGCCCAAGGTCACCCAGCAGTTAGCGCCCCGGCCAAAGTTTGAACCTAGGACTTCCGATTTCCAGTCTGTGCTTTTCTTGTGGCTGACTACCTCCCCCCCCTCCACTCCCCTGTGCAACCGGGGCAGTCGTGCTGCACAGGTGGTGGGCCGCACAGGTTGAGTTACACTGAGCAGCCCCGGGTTTGACCTCATGTCAAACAAAAGCTACTTGAACCTCCCTAAGGTCTTCTAATCCCTAAGGAGAGATGATAACGGCGCATGCCTCATCAGGCCGCCCCGAGGATGAAGAGATCCTGGACGGCAGAACATTCACAACAGTGCTTGGCATAGAGTAACCGCTCTACAAGAGATCTGCTCTGTTTATGTCTATGAGAATCATCCCCTTCTTTTACCTCAAGTAAAAATCATGCCCTTTTAGAGATAATCTTTCTGGCACTGAATCCTTTACTATCTCAAAGGAAAAGGGCTCACTATAGTCCTGTTCTTTAGAAATCCAATAGAAGTTCACACTTTGATGATCCAAAACCTTACCAAACAGGGCTCTCAGTCAACTTGACTTTATATTGAGGAGAAAGAACCAAAGTAAAATCAAATTAGGAATTCAAGCACAAAAAAGGGGCAGGTTCTGCTTTTCTATACCTTTTAGACCTATAACACTGTACAAAGAGAATTCCTATTTATAATGGGTCTTGGTTGTTACACTATCCTTAATCATCAAATAAACATTTAGGTATGATCTAACACAGTAAAGAAAACTGGAACACTTAAGAAGTATTAAAAAAAAATTTAAAGGTATTTTTAAGGAATCTTTAGTTAAAAAATATTTAAAAATACAGTTGACCTTTGAACATGGGTTTGAACTGCGCAAGTCTACTTCTACGGGGATTTTTTTTTTTTAATAAACACAGCGCAGTACTGTGAATGTACTATCTCTTTCTTATGGTTTTCTTAATAACATTTTCTTTTCTCCAGCTTACTTTATTGTACAAATACAGTCTTTAATGTACAAAATATGAGTTAACTGACTGTTTACATTATCAGTAAGGCTTCCAGTCAGCTATATAGGCTATTAATAGTTAAGTTTTGGGGAGTCAAAGGTTATATACGGATTTCAACTGCGCAGGAAGTTGGCGCCCCAACCCCCACGATGTTCAAGGGTCAACTGGTATTCACTTCAAGCGTTATGCTTTAGATACACTTTAGATACATGGGAACTAGTTTAATAAATTTTAGGTTTTTTTACTCAAGGGCAGTGGCAGTGTAACACCTGTTTGTAAAATGTCTGAAAACCAAATTGCCAAGATCCAAATGATTTCCATTTGAAGCTATTATGTAAAAGGGAATCCCTACACTAAACATTCCATCTGAAAGTCATTAAAACCACTGGCCAGTTTCCTGACAACAATTTTGACTGGTGTTTTATCACAAGGGTCAAAATACCTTTCAAGTAGAATTGCCTATTTTTATTTGAAAAGGTAAACCGCTAGCCAGATTTTTTATTTCCTTAGAACTGTGGCCCTTGAATAGCACATTCTGGAGTTACGACCAGACTTTAAAAAGGCTGTAACACAGTATGTGTAAGGGTCTAACAGGTCTGGACTGTAGCTGAGGATCGATAAACAGAAAACGTTTGAGGATGTTAAAACGAGGCTCCTGTCTGAATTTCAGCCCAGGTTGCCCAAAGGCCTTCCACAAATAATGGCGCCGACTCTCATATCCTGAAGTAAAGTTCTAGATCACCAACTTTGAACTGGCCCAGACAGCTACCACAAGGTCACAGAAAAATGAGAGTTGGGATAGAAGGAGCCAAGGTAAAACATTTGTTTAAACCTATTCTCTCTCATTCTAAACTCAGTGGACGAGGGGAACCACAGGCCATTCAGATTCCCTCCTTCGGGTTCTGGGGATATAATCAAGTACATCCTGCCCCTAGAGAGTTTGAACCACTGTTCCCAAAGGAAAATTCTTGGAGAAAGGGCCACTTAAATATCTATTCCACCCACCATACAGAGGTGGAAATTTCAGAATGAGATGACCTCTAGAGGACAAACACGGGGTGGATTCAGAGTCAAAGCCCTCCCAGTGGCTCCACCTATGGACTGGTTCTCACTGGCCTCAGTCTTGGGAATGGAAATCTCTTTCTACAGTAGCGATCTACAAAATAAAGGGTGTGTGTGCCCTAGGGGGTGTGCAAGGCAAGTCACTGGGGCTAAAGAAAGAAAAGGTTAAAATTTCTGATGTATTTTTAAATCTAAAAAGAAAAATGAAATCAAGCTTTTCTAATACTTAGTATTTAGACTGGCATGGACATCCTCACTCAGGCCATATACCAGAAGGCCACATGGAACAGTGTATTTACAGACCCCCCGAGGGAAGCTGGAAGCACCACAGGCAGGGAGGGGAGAGAACCAGTGACGCTGTCCTCACTCCTCTGCTTCGAGCATACCGTGGCTACTAATAATACAAACAGAAGAAACCAGCCGAGCTGCAAGCTCTTTGCCGGCCACTTTACGAAGAAGGCAGAGCTGTCGTCGAGGAGCTGGCCAAAGAAAATAAAAAGTAGCACCAGGATTTGCAACACAGATTTATGTCCGCCTGTTGTTTCAGTGAACTTCACCCTAAATGCAAGCGGCGCTCCAGGGGTTTTAGCTGATGACAGCGCTACAGGTACACAATTAACAAATGAAATTGGAGACCCACGCTTTAACATTCTTATTCTGATGGGGGTGTTCAGTCCAACACACTGGTCAGCCTGGCCTAGTGTGGGGTGGGAAAATCCCACTGGTCTTTAGACAGCACCCCCAAGGCATGTGGACCTTGCATCCATTGCTTCTTTTCTAGCAAATAAAAAAAAAGTCAGTTAGCAGAGCCTAACAGCCCAGAATCTGGACCCTGGGAAAGAAAAAGGGGCAGTAACAGTTTTTGGTAGAAAATTATAGTAAAGGGACTTCTCTAGAGAAAGCAGCACAACAGAGAGTTATTTCTCTGGGGAGAAGCTAAGGAGAGTGGAAGAGTCCCCCAGACAGTGAGAGGGACTTTGACGAGATCATAATATCAAAAACTGAAAATGGGGCTCCAGTTCAAGATGGCGAAATAGAAGGACCCCGAACTCCTCTCCTCCCATGGACACACCCAATATACAGCTACATATGCAACAACTCCCTTTAAAAGAAATCCAAAAACTAGCTGAGCAACTCCTACACCTTGGGTGAATGAGAAAAACCCCACATGGAAGGAGGTTGCAGAAGCTGAGACGCCATCTCACCACAAACCCACTCCCTGTACAATAACCCACAACTGGGAGGGAACTCACAACTCCTAGCTTCTCCTTGAGGAGCAAAGGATTTGGACTCCACATCTGGTACCCCAACTTTTAAGACTTCTACCTAAGAGCCAGGGCCACCAAAACACCTAGCTCTGAAGGCCAATGGGGCTTGTCAGCATGAGTCCCCTGGGGCTATGGGGAACCTAAGGGACAGCTCTTACTGGGCTTGTGGGAGGACTCCCCTCGGCAGTCCCCCAGGGCCCAGCACAGGGGGAAAACAACAACACAAAGAAAAAACTGAAAACGGGCTTCTCATCAGCAGGACAAAGAGAAATTAGGGAGAAATGGGCCGGTCTAAGGCTTGGTTAAGAAGGACAATGAGCTCGCCCTTCCATAAGGCAAGTAACCAAACCAGCACTGCTGGGGAAACAGCTCTTTTCTCAGCAAAAATCACCGTCCACCTAAACAATTCAACAAGAGGGAAGGCTTACGGGTTTCCTAATAAACCTCAGGGGAGAATTTCCGAGAAATGGGAGTAACTTCCTGGACTGTGACCCGAACGTTACCTCCAACTCTACGAACCCGAAAAGTATTCGCTTAAGGTTCTCGGGGGGCCCCAAAGCCAGCGCAAGTGCTCACGGCTACTCTGAAGAAAGACGAGCGGCGGCCCGGCGCGAGGGCGGCTGCTCGGCCGTCTCTCGTAGGGGGCCTCGCAGGGCCAGGCTGCTGGGGCCGGGATGCAACTGCAGAGCGGTTTGCGCAAAGCTGAGCGCAACGGGGTCATCCACACCCAAGCTCCTCGGGCGGCGGCGGCCGCAAGTCCCGACCTCCTGCCGGGGCGCCGCTACTGCCCAGGGAGAAGGCGACTCGTCCGGGGAAACCTGTCTTCCCCGTCCCCGCCCGGGCCCCGCCTCAGATTAAGGGCGTCGTGGCTCATTAGGACCGTACTGCAGTTTCCGCTGTCAGGAGAAAGGGTGTCCGTCTCAGCGTCAGCACCTGGACCCAAGCATCGCTAACGGTGCGAACGGCGCACACGTCGCTGTCAGCACCTCCAAAATTCCGAAGCAGACCAAGAAAAGCGCCTGGTTGGGACTCGTGAGAGGGCCTCCACCGGAGGGGGCTGCTCGGGCACGCGGCCGCTCCCGGCTCCGCTCCCGGGGCAAGCTCAGGCCTCCGCCGTGACCCCCACGAGGCGCGCGACAGAGGCCGAGCGATCCCACCCACCCCAACCTACCTTTCCTCCCGGCCTCGGGGGTTTGGGAAGGCTTCTCCGGCCGAGCGGCCGACAGGGCCGGGGAAGCGGGTTTGCGCTCCGGTTCCACCACTTCCTCCTCCTCCTCCTCCCTCTGGTGCGCCCGCCTCAGCTCTGCGGACGCCGGCGGCGGCGGCGACGGCGGCCAGGGTTCATTGCTCTCGGGAGCCTCCGGGTCCGGCTTCCCCGCGCGGCGGGCCAGCAGCTCTACCAGGTAGGGCCTGCTCAGTTTGGAGAGTGGGGACGAGGGGGGCGTCTGACCGGCGGGCTTGGGGGCCAGCGCTGGCTTCTGCGCCGGGGGCGTTTTGCTGGCCGCCTTGTCGTGCTCTGCGGCGGGGGTCTGGCTGCCGGCCGGCGGGGCCGCGGGAGAAGGGTGGGCTCTTGCGGCCGAGTCCTTCCAGGCGGACAGGGCTGGCTTCCTCTCGGGGGGCAGGGCCGGGCCATGCTTGGGGGCCACGGCTTCCGTCCCCTCTCCTTTTGCGCTCCCTGGTGCGGGTGGGCCGCCATCGGCATTGTCCCCGGTGCTGCTGTGCCTTTTCTTCTTCTTCTGTTCTGTCTGTTGGTCGCAGTGGAAGCGCAAGGAGTAGTTGGTCCTTCTCAATTTTATTCCGAAAGGTGAGGCTTTTTCCTCCTGGCCAGGCATCGAGGGGTCTGGCTTTCCTCTCCCGCTGGTGGTCTCACTGTCCGAAGCGGCCATGGGCTCTGCATGGGCCACGGCCCTGTGAGGCGTGTAAGCAGGGCTTGGGACAAGGAAAGACGGGAGGTCTTTGGCAAATTTGCACCCCTCTGTGGTGTCTGCTGGCTCTGGTTTCTCCGCGCCCTTGGGGAGCTCATTAGTAGCCAGGGGCTGGGGCACCGACCCGTCGCCGGCTCCCGGCGAGGGTCTTTTTCTAATGCTCTCTGCTTCTGTGTTGTGTTTGGAGGTCTCGGTGCCACCGTCAGAGAATTTCTGCCAAGCAGGCATAATAGAGAACTTCGCACTTACTGGGGGGGTCTTCCGGAGGTTCCCGCGGGAATCACTGCGGGCCCTGGGAGCGTGCTCATCACCCGGCCGAGACCGGCCTCTCTCGCTGCGCGACTCACCCTCCGCGCTCTTCAGGATCCTGGACCGAATGGAAGCCCACTCAGCTAGCGCGGCCACACTGCTCGGAGACTCCTGGGGGGCCCTGACCTTCCCGCTGCCGGCCCGGGGCTCGACAGGCGCGCGGGCTGCGTTCTCCAGCGCAGGGACATCCACGTGCTTCTTTTCTTCTGACAAGCCCAGGAGAGACTTGCATGCCGTGTCCTTGATCTGGCTCAGGTTGACCGCCGCGCCGCAGAGCTGCGCGCCCGTCACCAGAATGGCTGTGTGGGGGACACTCAGGGAGGAGGGCAGGGCGTGGGCGGCCGGGCTGGCTCGGGGGTTCTTCGGCGCGTGGGGAGCGGAGGCCAGTCCCGCATCTCTCACGGGTGTCACTGGGCTCAAATTGACTCTGGGGAAGAGAATCTGTTTCCCTCCCGATGATACCTGGAAAGTGTAGGGCCTGGGCATGCTCTGCCTCTCGTCCACTTCCTGCCACCGGAGTTCCTCCCCCTTTCTGTCTTTTTCTGGGGTGGCGGCGTCCTTTCTCTCCCCGGGAGTCTCTTCCACTTGCGCCTGGTGTTTCTGCGGAGGCTGCGCGCTAGTTTCTGGTCTCTCTTCCGGACGTGCACGACGGCCATGCCCAGGACCAGCCCCGCGCCGTCCCTGCAGCTCGCCGGCTGCCTCGGCCTCCTGACTCTGCTTCTCGCAAATCCTGGATTCCTCGGAGCTTTCTCGTTGCTTCTCGGGCTGCGGGTGCTCTCGTTTCCCAGGTTTCTCTGCAAAGTCGACCTGAAGTGGGCTCAAGCCTCTTTTGTCGTCCAGCTGCGGCCACCTCTCCTCGCGCACTCTCGCGGCTTCCCGACGCTCCATTTCCTGCCGCCTCGCGGCGTCCACTTCCTCACGCTTCCCCAGCTCCGCCCTTCCTTTGGCCGCTGCCTCCGGCCCCCGGCGCTGCTCCTCCTCCTGCCGCCGCTGCTCCTCCCATCCTCGCTGCTCCTCCTCCCGCCGGCGCTCTTCCTCTTCCAGCCGCCGCTGCTCCTCCCATTCTCGCTGCTCCTCCCTTTCCCGCTGCTCCTCCTCCTCCCGCCGGCGCTGTTCCTCTTCCAGCTGCCGCTTCTCCCATTCTCGCTGCTCCTCCTCCCGCCGCCGCTGCTCCTCTTCCAAACGCAGCTGCTCCTCCTCCCGCCGCTGCTGCTCCTCTTCCAAACGCAGCTGCTCCTCCTCCCGCCGCCGCTGCTCCTCTTCCAAACGCAGCTGCTCCTCCTCCCGCCGCCGCTGCTCCTCTTCCAGCCGCCGCTGCTGCTCCTCCTCCCGCTGCCGCTGCTCCTCTTCCATCCGCCTGTGCTCCTCCTCCCGCCGCCGCTGCTCCTCCTCCCCATGCCTCCTGAGCTCCTTCAGTTCTTTTTCTTCCTGTAGCTGCCGCTGCTTCTCCGCCTCCTGCCCGCCGCACACCGCCTGCTCTTGGGCCTCCGGGTGCCTTCCTTCCTCTTGCTCCCTCGGCTCTTGGCCTTGGCCACCTTGCTCTCCCAGTCTCTGCCTCTCCTCTTCGTGCGGCCTCTTTTCTGCCTCCAGCTGTAGTTCTGTCTCCTCTCCCTGCTCGTCCTCTCCTTCCTCCTCCAAGAGCTCTTGGCTTCTATTCTCTTCCCAAAGCCTCCTCTCCAGGGCCTGGAGTCTCTGCTCTTCCAGACGTCTCCTCTCAGCTGCCTCGGCCTTCTGCCGTTTGCACTTGGCCTCAAGCTCTAGCCAGTATTCTTCTTGGCATCTCTTCTCTTCTTCGGAGTCCAGCAGCTCTGGTTCCTCTTCGTGCCAAATTGGCTTGTCTTCTCCAAAGTGTCCGTTCTGGTCCAGGGAGGGCTGACGCGGAAGGCCACCGTGTTCATTTGGTCGATCCTAAGGAAAGAAAGAATTAGCCTTTTCCTTTAGCACAGGCAACCATTACCCACCCTATTCATAATGTCAGTGGCCCTCTTAATCTCAAAAGAAGGGGTGCTTGGGTGGCTCAGATGGTTGGGCGTCTGCCTTTGGCTCGGGTCATAATCCCAGGGTCCTGGGATCGAGTCCCGCATCAGGCTCCCTGCTCCTTGGGAGCCTGCTTCTCCCTCTGCCTCTCCCTCTCTCATGAATAAATAAATGGAATCTTTAAAAAAAAAAAGAGAGAGAAGGGGCAGTTGTTCTTAAGTATAGAGCTCAGTAAACACCAAGAGCAAATTGCCAGGGTGCAGGAAAACACATCCTGTTTATGTTGACTCTCTAGCCCCTTTGTTTGTCATTCTCAAATTCCTTTTGCTTAATACAAATGAATTACAGGAGAACCAATAGCCCAGCATGAGGAACATGAGAAAAAATGACATTTGCACTTCATCGATGTGCCCTGAAACCTGTGACTTCAAAGTCCACCCCAGTCAAACCAAAGAACCTCTGGCTGAGCCATAGCAGGGGAGCTGGGTCACCTGGCTGGGGTGAAGCCAACGCCAAGTGTCCAGAGGCCCTCAAACGGCAGCCTCTCATTCTGGGGTCCACCAGCCCCCAGGAAGGCAACACGTTAGAAAGGGTGATGGACAGTAAAGGGGCCTGCTTGCCCTCATTCACTGCAACACACCAGGTCCCTGATTCGAGGAACCTAGTTCATTCTACTGGCCCCTCATGGCACCACCCCACTGGGTAGAATGGGCGCCCAGCAAGCATGGGCAGCTGCCTGGTCAGCTGGGACAGGTTCTACATACCCTGGCAAGCCACCGGTGCTTCTTGGACACCCTCTGGTTTTTTGGCTTTACGGACAATTTGTGCTTGGCGGCACTGTTGTCCAGGCGAGCGATGGCCAGGGGGATGGCATCTAGGTTGACACTTTCGATGGTTCCAGCAGAAGAGAAGTGCCTTTTTGGCCGAGACGGTTTAACTGGAGCCACCTGTATGGAGAGGAAACCACACAGTCCCGATCAGAACCACGTGCGAGGAGTCCCAGAGCCATCGCCCTTGCTGGATGGAGCCTGCATGTTGCCTGGTCCGGCCCAGGGACAGCTTCGAGCAGGCGGGGCTCACTGGGACAGTGAGATGAGCATGGCTTTGGGAATTAAAAGGGGACACTGACGGTTTGTTCGGCCAGTGCTACTTGCATTAACTCATAAAGGTCAGATAACCTTTCAGGGGCTAGTTTACCTACTCTAAATAATATTGGGGGGGAGGTTAGAGTAGATAGGGGTGACAAAACATAGCCAGGGGGCCCAATCCTGCCCACAGCCTATTTTGGTAAATAAAGTTTTGCTAGCACACAGCCACGCCCATTGTCCATTGTCTTCGGCTGTGTTTGGGCTACAAAGGAAGAGCACAACAAAGGAGAGTGTCCTGGTTGGACCTTATGGCCACAGAGCCTGAAATAAGTCATAGTTTGCTGAACCCTGGACCAGCTCATCTCTATGCTAAGGACTCTATTATCTAAGACACGACCTCAGACACCTGCAAACATCTCTCAGCTTCTACCTTAGTCCCTTTGAGGAGGGAATGTATCTTTTTCCTCTTTTCTGTCCCCTTTATGCCCAAGTAGCAAATCTCATTTGGCAAGTGTTCAATACATATTTTTGGGAGGAATGAAGGAACAACAACAAAGTAGATCGTCTATGCCTAGGGCATGAAATTGCTACCCACAAAAATGCTCTAGCACAATCACTCCAAGGCCACAGAGCACTGGGTTGAGTGCACCAAGCTGCTGAGAGGGGGAGGCCCTGGCGGAAAAAGGAAGGGCAGAAATGTACCAGCCAGGGGTGAGGGCTGTCCGTCAGAGGGCGAACGGTAGCACTGTAACGCAGATGCGTGCACTTAGAAACCACCTCGACACGCTGTACAGTTAGGTCAGAGAGCCCCAGCTCAGCCTGCTCCCGGAGGCCACACTGAATGGGAGGAGAAGCCACACCTGTAACTACTGAGAATTACCGGCCACAGTAAGGGGACGGCTACCAGCCGCACGGCGCCAGCGCGCGGCAGAGGGCGCTCTCGGCCCTCCCTGCGGGGCCGGCAGCTCCCGGCACAGGCACCCCAGGAGCCGAGGCCGGGGTCCGTGTGTCAGCATTCATGCTACCGATGCAGAGCCAGAGCCGGTGGGGCTTAGCGGACAGCTTTGCTTTTTGCAATCACCTTCCATATTCATGCACAAAAGATAAAGGACCAAGCCAGCTCCAAGAGCAAAATGGATGCTCAGTAAATAATAACTTAAGAAGCACAGAAGTAAGGAAAAATAATTCCAGCCTTTGGGCTCCTAGCTTTTATTTCTTTATAGTTATCTTTCTAATAGGTATCAAATTCTGAACTCTGGTTCAAAAGAAATGAATCAAACATTTATCTCCATCCCCTAATAGATGGATGAATAAAAAGCGTCCGAGCCAAATGTGACAGACTGAAGGCACAGAGAAGCACTTGAAGCTGAGATTTAAATGCCAGGTTGCATTTCTAGTGTATTCCTACCGGTCTTCTTCATTGCCTGGGTGGTGGCACTGTCTGCAGCCATGCCCCTTCAGAAGACTCAGGGACATACCCTGCTCACTGTACCAGCCCCCAGGAGGAGGCCTGGAGCCCCATGCAGGTGAAGATTGCTCATGGGAGTGGACCGGCCTCTACAGGGTTCCCGAGACTCCTGTAGGCACAGTCCCGGGTTCAACTGAACACCAGAAAAGTTAAAAAACAAAAAAACATACAAGTAGAGAAAAGCTGAGGTTTTTGTTTGTTTTTTGTTTTTTTTTTACATCTCTAAATAGAAGGAGACTCTTTTCCTGAAGGTACAGGTGTTCTGAAATGTCTTTTTCAATGGCTTAACAGTGTCTGGAAGGACCTGGCACAGTTAGGAAGATGAGCAACGTCTAAGTGTGCAAATATGCACAGGCTGGGAGGTGGCTGTTTTTCCAAGTGGGGCTCAGTCCCAGCAGGTGCATAATGAACACTCTAACATCTACCACTGGTAACGTTCTGAAGGAACTGAAGGTAATGGGTGAAGGCAGCATTTACGAATGGAAAAATGAGAGGGTGGGTCGACAAAACGGGGTGGGGGGGGCCGAAATGGAAGTTGAAGTAAAGACACTAAAAACAGAAGTTGAAGTCATACTACCTTCTCTTCCATCTCACTTCTGGCTCCAGGCCGATTCGGAGGACTCCGAGAACTTGGAGTGTCACTGGGCTGGAATAGTAAAGAGAGCGGGGCAGTCAGATGCCGGAACAGGAAGCCCCGGGCAGATAAGCGGACTCCAGCTGCACGTGGGAAAGGTGGGTGTCCCGGTAGGGACTCGGCTAATGTCCCGACTAGGACTCCCGGCACGAAATGTACACTTTCTTCTTTTCCTGAGTTCAACACATCTCCATCCGGGCAGCCTCTAGCCTCCGTCTTTGCTGCGTTTCCCCAGGGCTGAGAGAGGCCAGGCGCCAGCCTCTCACCACCCCACCTGGGAAGCAGGGCTGGGTCACACACCCGACTTCAGAGCTTTTGGCCGTGCCCACTGCCTTCACCCCCTTCACCTGCGACACCTCTCACCTCTATGCCAGGCCTTTTCTCTGTGGGAAGGAAAGGCCCTACCAAAGCTGCGTGCAAAGGGCTGGGCTGAGAAGGCGGATGACCAGAGGAGGCAAAACCCTCAGCATGGAAGGAAGAAGAAAAAGGCTGAAGATCCCCAGCCCAGTTGCCTCACCTGCCCCGGGAAGGCCCACACCACGTCACCTGCCCCTGATGGCACGCTGTATCTTCTACCTGGAGTGGCCCATTTCTACAAACAGGTGTTATCATCCCCTCCGGAGCAAGAGTGTCAGCTTCCGTACCTCAGCCTGTTTTCTGCACCACACTTAGAAGCACCTTTAGAAAATACAAATCGGGCGCCTGGGTGGCTCAGTCGGTTGGGCATCTGACTCTTGGTTTCGGCTCGGGTCATGATCTCACAGTCATGGGATCGAGCCCCGCGCCAGACTCTGTGCTGAGCTGAGCATGGAGCCTGCTTGGGATTCTCTCTCTCCTCCCTTTGCCCCTCCCCCTGCTCATGCTCTCTCACTCTCCCTCAAATAAAAATAAAATTTAAAGAAAAAATAGAAGAAAACACAAATCAGATTATGTCACCAACAGGCTTAAAATTCTACTTCTCTCAGAATAGAATTCACCTGTTTCCTGTGGTTTGTACAATCTGGCCTCTATACCCCGCTCTCCTCCCTTTGCCCCCCACTCCAGCGTCTGGCCGTCCGCACCAACCTGCTTTCTTTTGGGACACCTTCAGCCCCATCTCTGGGCCTCCGTACTTGCTCTTCCCTCTGCGGAGAACACGGCTCCCACCCCCAGGCCTGCTCAGGCTGCTCTGACCTCCTTGTCTAGAGAGTGGCCCCTCACCCACCACGTTACTCACTTTTCCGTCACTCTGCCTTACCTCCTGTGCAGCATTTTTCATGATCCAGAGTTATTACATTTATTGTATAAATAAGTTATTATATTTATACGTATGTGTTGACTTGCCACGTGACTCTCCTCTCATTAGAATGTAAGCTACGCGGAGGCAGCCCCCAGACTAATCTCGCTCATCTCTGCAATACCCACAGCTGGGGCAGCACCTGCAGACCAAATGAGCCTCCTTCTCCCTCAGGCCACAGTCCCTGGCACTTATTAGATCCTCAGTAACAGTGAGGACATTTGCTTCAGTCCTTGGGAAGTCCGTGCATGAAGGCTCATTTTTGTCGCTGGCGCCTAGCCCTGGAGACATTGGACCTGGTGGGAGGGCTGGGCCCCATACTACTTTACCCACCACACCACCCGCCACCCACATGTCTGGGGACCAGGAGTCATGAGGGCCAGAGGCAGACTGGGGGGGGGGCGGCAACAGCAGGGGAACGGCCTGTTCTTTCCTTCCTCACTTTGCTCTGCAAATCACTTCTCTTTCTTACTGCCCTTATGACACATTAGCTGATAGCAAGCATGACTTTGGGGGGCACGTCCATTTTAACAACAGCAGTGTAATTTCAGGCGTCTTGCTAGGCAGAGCACAAAAAATGCTTTCTGTTGAGACTGGAAGATTCGGTGCCTCACCTAGAGACCTCCTTGCTTCAGCTGCTGGGGGGGCCTTCCCTCCTTCCCCACTAGAGGCCCGAGGATGTCCCCTCTGCTGCTGGAAGGACTCTCATTCCGGGATACCCTCATGGTGTTTCTTTCCAAGTGTCAAAAGACCAAATTCAGAAAGGACAATGCTGAACCAATGTGACTTTCTTCCCTCATTAAGTAGACTTCAAGCTGGCCTGTTCGATATGTTCTGTCTCGTTAGGCACCTACTTCTTTGTTTTCTCATCTCCCTTTAAATTAGTCCAGTTTGACAAGTAATTACTCGGTGCTACTAAGTAAGGCACTAGCTGAGTCCTGGGGAGACAGAGATGTGAAAGACCCAGTTTGTCCTCAGGGAACTCCACATTTAGAGATGGAGAGAACACAATTACATGGACATGGATGAGTACAGATGTGTGAGAAGCACAAAGGACGCACAGCAAAGACACAGAGGAGATAGTACCGCGTGGGGGTAAGGCCAACTAAGGCTTCCCAGAAAAGGTAGGCCCACCTGAGTCTTGAAGAGTAGGTGGAAGATGCTGTGAGGAGTGCCTGTGAAGGGCACGTCTCCTCTTCCCCACCCCCACCCGCCCCTCCAAGTGCACCTCCCTGCAGCTCACGGCGCCTGACCATGAAGTGCCCTCCAGCCCGGGGCTACTCATCAGAAAATCTTCTCTCACATATTCCCTGTACAGCAGACCCCCGAGTTCCTGGATGCCCCGGGCCACTGCCCAACGTCCTCCCCTCGCCTATCAGCAACCAAGTCATTCCCTGGAGGAGCCTTACTTTGTTCTCGGTGTCTGAGAGGATGATGTCCTCGTGAGTCACAATTTCCACGGGACTGGTCAGGAACAGATCCTCTTCTAAGCTAGCCTCACCACTGTCTGCCTTCTTCATGGGAATGGCAGTGGGTGGTGGCCGCCCAAACTTGATGTTTTTGCTCAACTGTCGCTGGAGAAAAAACAAAGAAAGATGTTCTGAAGCAGGGAAGCGGGTCATGAGAAGCGCGAGCAGATGCCCCGGCATATCTAGTGGGCACCGAGGCATGTTCTGCACACAACGTTTCTAGACTAAATACCATGCCAGTAAGCCACGATGCAGTCCTGGAACAAGTGGATTCGTTTTCTAGTTTCTCTTCCTTTCCCACCCTCAAGCCATGAGCTTTTTCATCCAGCCACCTCTTTCCCGGAGATGCCAACATTATCCAGGGGGGCAGAGAGACCGCATTTCCGAACCAAAAGTGGGGATACGTGTTATGACAAAAAATTTTTGATTAACCCTATAAATGTATTTATTAAAAAGTCTTTTAAAAAAGTATAAAAATGGTATAGAAAATAGTTACGTGAACTGCAGGAACCACTGGGGGAAATCAAGACCCACATGGTTGCTGTAACAGGGGCACCCTCCAGCTTCTTTTGGACACGTTCTCCTTGAATATTTACGCGTTAGGCACTTTCCTCCCCAGCCCCTCGCTCGAACACCATGTTCTTCTCACAATGGGCAGTGAGGTGAAGGAGGCCCCAGTGCTGGCAAGTCTTTCCACAATCAATGCGGAAATCATGGAAGGCACAGAACAATCCTGTCCTGCTCCTAGGACTCTTTTTGCCTTGCTGCAGCTAGACACTGTGAGCTGTGGGAGAGAAGGGCTGGAGAGGTAGGCAGGAGGAAAGGGCCAAGGAGGGATGCATTATTGGTGGCAGGTAGCTAGAAGGGTGTGTGGGGGGGATATGGGGTAGAAATTAGGAAGATCAACAGTGTTTAGAATTAGAGAAAAGCCAGATTAGAAAAGAAATATATTCTCTGAAGAAAAAATAAATATAATGTTAAAGAAAGGGCAAAATATTTAATGGGTTGTGGCAGAGAAAATGAACATTCAGGAAGAAAAAAGGGTATGCCATGGCTACCTGAAGGACTACTGAATTAAAAATACTGTAGAAACGCCTGCCTTTTTCTACAGCAGGGTTCTCAACCTCGCACTACTGGCATTTCGGCCACATCATTCTCTGGTGTGGGGAGCTGTCCTGTGCGTTGTAAAATGTTTACCAGCAGCACCCTGGCCTCCGGAAACTAGATGCCGGTAGCAGTTCCTTCCCTGTCGAGACAACCAAAAATGTCTCCGTCCGGTGCCTGACATCCGCTGCGAGGGTAAAACTGCTGTGGCTGAGAGCTCCTGCTCTAGACCTACGCACTTGGGCTTCATGGTCCTTTTGTGCCGGAAGGAAGGAAGGAGGGAGGGAAGGAGGGAAGGAAGGAAAGAAGGATGGAAAGAAAAGAAGAGAAAAGACAAGAAAAGAAAAAAGAAAAGTAAAAGAAAAAAAAGTAAAAAGAAAAGAGAAAAGAAAAGAAAAGAAAAAAGAAAGAAAAAGGAAGGAAGGAAGGACGAAAAGAAGGAAGGAAGGAAGGGAGTGAATGAGTGAGGGAGGGAGGGAGGAAATGCATTACTGATATTTATCTTTAATCTGGCTAATATTTAATCCCATAGAGCCGCAAAGAGCCTTAGTAATCACATAGTCCAGCCCCCTCATTTTATAAAAAATGTCAGAGGTCCAGTGGGGAGAGGTGACTGGCCCAAGCTTATGGAAAGAAAGTGTGACCCCAAAGGGATTTGAGGCCGGGTCTCCTAAAACCAGAGTCAGTGTTATTTGCATCGCATCCCACAGGTTCTCACAAATTTGACATTGCGCTTCTTTATTCCTCTAGGGGCAGAAATAAAGATGATGCAGCATTTTTAAGACCTTGTCCAAGTTCCCTGGCAGGGGAATCCCTTGAGGGAAATGCCCCTTCTGAATTCAAGGGTACTAAATCCACCCGCTCGTGCCCAGCTCCCCCCTCGGCCCTGCATGGTAGACAGTGAGACTGCAGAAATATGGAAAAGATGAGCCCAAGACTGCCCTCCCCGCACCCCAGGGCACCCCAGCATGCCAAGTCAGGAGCACAGAAAGACAGAGGACTTGTGTTTGATCTGCTGCTATTTCAGCCTGAGCCTGGCTCCCCTGGCACCACAGGGAAGGAGCACACATCAAAAGCCCCAAGTTCAGCCCGTGAAGTACAGCTTGAGCAGCCTGAAAGGGTTTTGGGGAGGAGAAGGCTGAAAAAGGGTGTCTGCTCAAAACCAGTTTAGCAGGAAGCGGCAGTTAGTATCTACTCTAAGCAGATCAATAAGCAGGCACGGTTAGAGCAGCCGATGGAGCCAGACAAGAGGACACGGTGTAACGGAGTCACAGGCCCATCTCACTCTGCTGACCTGTGGGAGAGGGGCCGGAACCCGGGCAGAGGAGGTGGCATGGTTCCTGTGTCCTAGTGAAAGCCCTAGCAGGCCCTCCCTCTGGGACTCCCAGCCCAGCCTTCGGTCTACCAGTTATCCCTGCTCTAGGAGCGTTGGCCGAGAGCTGGAAAGTGTTCTAAATCCCCTTAGACTGAGACCTCCTGTTGTCAGGGTCTGCCATCTCTCAATGCTCCTGAACGACTAAAATGAGGGTATTTCTTCTAGTTATAATAGAAAGAATAATTCTTTAACGAGTTTCCAAGGAGAACTTGGCCTAACAGTCAATGCCAGTTAGGGGTTTTTGCCACCATCACAAAAAAAGAATGAATATGCTGGTATTTTTCTTCATTAGGGCACCTTTTAAAATACTGATGTTGGTCCACCCTGATGCTTAAGAGACAACCAAGCATATGACACAATGTAATCGCAGCCTAGATGGAAATAAGCTCCAAAGATAGGATGGCTGTCATGGTGAGCAATGGAAAAGCTACGAGAGAATGGAAAGAGGAAATTGATGGAATGAGAACAGAAGAAATAGGGCACACGGGACGAAGCTAGGAAGTGGAGAGGGTGGTGTTAAGAGCTAAGTGGAGAATGAAGTCAAAGAGGTGAGCCGAGAGGAGGGTGCAGGGGCGTGGGGTGTGGGCCTGGCGGCAGGTACCCAGTCGAGGGTGGGGAGAGAGGGAGGCAAGAAGAGGTGAAGGGTGGGAATGGGAATGTGTGTGTATCGAAGGGATGATTTACGTCACAGAGATGTGCATCCTGGCAAAAGAAACACAATGCTGTTGTCTTTGAGAATAACAGTGTGCATTTCTGTAAAGCCACTGATTTAAAATCCCTCTAGAAAAAATAAATTCAGGCTGGTGGCTGCGAGCTTCGGGGGATGGAGGAGGGGAGGACCCAGGTCATCACAGAAATGCTGGCCGAGTTCAGGGATCGAGCTGCGGCCTCTCTGTCCAGACAAAGGGCTGCCTTCCTAGACACACACACCTGCAGCTGTCAGGGATGAGACCGCAGAACTAGGCCAGGGTAGGCCTTAGGGTCCAAGGCCATGGTGACTGAACCTCAGGTTCTCAAGGCCGAGGCTCCTGCACCTGCATTCTTCCCTCCCTGCGGTTCCTGATCCAAGGTTTCCTTCAGCTGACTCAAAGGAGATAGGGCTGTCCAGACACTGTGTGATTTAACGACAATTAAAAGGTGACTGCTGAAACCTATTTGGCAATCTCGGGTGTCACGTGACTTGAATGTAGGGATCAGTGTGACTTTTTTTGTGACTTTAGTTCTGTCCACTACTCAGGCATTGTCATGAGAGGAACTTTGATAGAAGCAATCCCTGACAACCAGCTGTTCGGACGACCATTCCCTCCACCTTCTCTACTCCCCAGGAGCCCTTTATCTACACTGCAAGCACAGCCGGACGGGAGCGGGGACACTGCGCCTACAGCGACGGGCCACGCCGCCTGCAGCTGTGAATGGGGTTACTGTGAGGACTGGAATGTGAGCTAAAAGAGACTATATTTTACTCATTCAAATTGGGCCATTTTGTTGTAATATGGAATGCCAGAGAATGATGTTATAGGAATGCACATCCATATTTATAAGGCTTTTTCCTATGGTGTGGGAATTCCAAGCACATCATATTCTGCAGCTCTCACACTGCCAGTATTTAAGTTCCCCCAGATTTCTCACAGCCACCCTTTAGACCATGGCCGTGAGAACAAAGCAGAGGAAAAATGAAGTTGCTGTCCTCTTGAGTGAACTACAGATACACCCATAGTGAAAATGAATTTTTAAAGAGAGGCAAAAGAAAAAGCATATAGATTTAAAGACATCTGCTCTATGCAGAAGCGGCTAAGAATGGGTATTCAGTCTTTGTGTCCTTGACAGCAGCATGAGGTGTCAAAATCCTCCAACATATGACACTTCGGCATTTTTAAGTGAAACCCAGCTCCTCAGGAGTCAGCGGCTACTGAAAATGGAGGCTTTCCCTCCTGGGCTAAATAGTCCGTGGACTAACAGAGTTAGCATTTTCTGACAAAGGTGTGGTATAATTCTAAAAACCACCTGCAGGCTTAGACTCCGATGTTCCTGCCTGAGTTTTATCATCAGTTGTTACCCACTTCATAGCCTGGGTCTGATCTGAAATAAGCAGGCCTCTCCCTGGTCTGTGATCTGGGCAGCTGTAAGGAACATCAAGGTCACTGCACTCCAAATGCAACCAAGTGTGAAGCTTACCAAACCACTCCGTGCTACAGCAGGTGAGCAGTGATTTCGTACAGATGGCAGACTTTAAGAACTGGAGGAGCCAGATCATCCATCATATTCATCCCCTTATTTTTCAGATGGGGATGATGAGGGGCAGAGAGCTTCAATGACTTCCCTGGAGGCCACACAGCCAGGTGGTGGGGAAGGCCGGGCACAGAATTTTTATTTCACCCATGGCCATGGAACAGCTGACTGTTATGTGTAGGGTCTTCAAAAAGGGCATCACTGTTGTTCTGGCCCCTATAACTCTCCTGTATATTAGAATTTGTTCTCCCTACAAACATGTAGTATTTTTATACTCAGGAAAAAAAGTCATTTTTCTTGTAAAGGGTCAATGATTTGCCACAGAAATTTTGGCTGGTGATAGATTCACTTGATTCAGAAAATGCAGGCTTATTCACGCTGCATTCATTCATTCTGCACTCAGTAGACAGGTTACAGACCACCGCGGTGCCACGTTAGGCTGGCCGGCCAAGCTGGGATGACCACGTGTGGACACTAGAGGGCAACCTTTCCAAACGCAGTCAGTACACGCACAGTTCTGGGGTTTCCAAGGGCTGGGAAGTTTCTTAGGCCAGAGAAAAATGGCTTCCCCGCGCCCCCCCCTCCGCCCCCCGAGATGGCATTATGATAGAAATCTCATTTCAAAAGAATGTCTTAATAATGGTGGCTAATCAGCCTGCCAGGACGTCCACTGTCAAATAGGTATCTGTGACTTTCCTCTCTCTGTTTTTAATAAACATACATACATACACAAACACGATATCGAACATAAAAAACATACATGCCTCTGACATAACTAACACCCTCATTCCATGCTGGAGTCTACGAGGGGGCGGTCTTTTATGCTGCTTACTAAGCATCAATACCAGCATAATGTTGTCATGGAAAAATGCAAAGCATTCATGCAAGTTAATAAAGTTAACTACTATTTCTATGACTTACCAGGAACATACTGCTTAGTCGACTGAAAAATAAAGCACAGTCTTTTGGGGGTGATACAGTTATATCTTAATGTCACTCCAAAAATCACATTTTCTATGATAATGGTCCCCATTTCCCTCCTCAAAGAGCAAAGCCTCTTTAGTTTTTAAAAGTATAACTAGAGAGCTGTGAGGAAGATTATGAATACACAGCAGAAGCAAAATTAGGCAGACCTCGGATGAGGAGATATTGTCCAAAGGAGAGCACTCAGCTTAGTTATTCTGCTTTCCTCACAACTTTCTTTCTGTTAATAGAACTGTTGCTTCAGGGAAGTTGGTTGTTTTACATTTTAATTGTGAGACCTGATTCTTTAAACTTGTGCCTTGCAGTGTGCCTCGGAATAACAGGCACTCACATATTTTTATTGAGTTTCAACAGTGCAGAATTATATATTTTTCCCAATTCCAAATCCACTTCCTGGAGGGGCAGTGGCATGCGGTGTGATGTTAGCACAGACAGCATTTAAGACAACACACTAGTATCTAATTTTTAAAGAGCTCCTCGAAAGCCCTTATAAAATACAGCTGTTTCATGGACTGAACTCTGGAAGTCACTCCACTTGGAAAGGGCATATTTATGAGCCAGGAGTTCAGAACTTCTTAGGAATAACAGTCCAGGAATCAAAAAACTTCACGAAGGGAAGGTAATATGGGGAGGGCGTCCACCGTTTTCTTTGGTGATCACCACCCCTTCCTCTTCTCCAACCTAGGAAAAGTGACGGCTTGCTTTTTCTTCTGAGTCTAGACACATGTAGCAGCGCAGCCAGGAAGAACTAAGAGCAGAACCTGGTTAGGACATGCTGGAATCTGAAGGAAGGGACTACGTTAGCTCTGAGGGCAGGACAGGGGCCCTGGGCCATGGCTGGCAGTAGGTATAAAGATCCAGGCACGTTCGGGTATGGTTCCAGGGTGTTAGCTATTTTCCCGCCTTCTATATGCTATATTCAGCTGAGTGTGTGTGGACATGTAACCAAACACAGATCACAAAATGCATAGCTAATGTTCAGTAGAAACAAGAACATTTCAAGAAAATAGAAAATTTCCTTTGAGTACACTGCTTCATTGTATTGGCAGCTACTCAAGCCAGCTGTCCGCCCCCCATTCATTCATTTATACATTCGTTATTGTAGACTTACAGACAGTTGGAAACCAGCAAACCAGAGTCCCCCGTTCGTAACTTGGATCTCCTCCAAGCCTTCCCACCTCAGAGAAGTGCTTGCTTGGGCACTTCTGTCAGGTGAGTGAATTCTACCAGGCTATCAGGCAAACCTACATGGTCAGATCCCAGGTGTCTCTGCTCCTCTTGCTTTCCCTGGATTTCCCATGATCTCAATCACATTTAGTGAGTAATTGTTTTATTATATCTTCATTATTAAGGAGTTACCACCTGAGTCAATTTTATAGAGGAAAACTGCCTGGCTCTGCAGCATGAACAGGAGGGAGGTTTAAGAGCTGCCCGGCATTCCTCCAAGACAGGGTGGCTCAGGGGGAGCCAGATTTACAAATACGGCAAATAATAGAGTCTCACCATTCACTGTCCAAGTATGGAGATGTGCTGTGCATGCCCTCAGCTAACAGTCAACCCTGTGTTCAGGGATTATGGGCCACATTTCCAACTCTCCCCTCCCACCAAGTCCTGCAGCTTCTCTTGGGTACCTGTCCTCATGACATGCAGTTAAAAATGAGGGAACAACTCGACAGAATAGGAGTGGAGTTGTTATGCAGGTGGGTACAATGGTGATGACGTACCTCTCCCAGGTGGACAGAAGGCTTCCAGAGAACAGAGTCAGGGTTGAGAGAGCAAAAATTCCCACCAGAAGCTCCCCTTGGATCTCCCGATCCCTTACTCAAGGCCACTCTCGGGATGTTCCCACTTCCCACTTCCCACCATCGCGGGCCCCCTCCTAAGTCTGACTTGCCAATCTCAAGCTGTCTTACCTGAAGAGTTTTGACTTTGCCCAGGATGTTGTCCTGTGACATTGCTTGAACTGTCTGCTCACTTTCTGCTCCCCCATCAGGGATAAAAATACTGTCATGGGAAAATGCCCGGGTTCCCATAGAATAGTTGAAGGACCTGGAATGCAAATCATGTGCTTCATTTTATTAGGATGATAATAATTCTTTTGGCAATTCAGCTTCCTGTTCCTTCTGATTTAGGGGACTCCCCCCACAACCCCTGTCTCATTCAGAGAGCACTTCCAGCATTGTGTCCTTTTCTGCGAGGGGTCAGCCAAGTAGCTGGGTAGGAGAAAGGGTCTCCCAGAAATAAGGGAGCATGTCTCCAACACAGGTTTTAGAGCCACTCAAGGAGAGAACTCAAAGACAGCTCTTGACTTGTAGAGGACCTGGTACCCGAGGCCCTGGCAGGAATTGTAACTGGAGGAGCCCATGTCCTGACGAGCCTGACGAGCCTGATGAGCCTGACGAGCCTGACGAGCTGCTGCTATCCATTTTCCCCCAGTAAGTCCTGTCAGCCAACACTTTTGAAGTCACATGCAGATCTAGAGGTTAGAGGCAAGAGATTCTCTCTTTCAGATGACAATCAAATTGTTAGAAAGACCCGTACATCTAAAACAAAGACTTGACACAGCCCAGAATTGCTGGTTGGGCCTACAGGAAGAGTCTCTGGGGCTGGACTTGAAGAGAAACGCGCGTTGGGGCAATCCCGATGGGATTCATGCACACTGAGCGGCTCATAAATGGTAGGTACCCAACAGTAAGCACGTTTCAGTTGAAGCGTTGTGCTTCATGGAGTCCGGAGTTCCGCCTGGCAGAGGGGCTGCAGGAAGAGGAGCAGCAGAAGCTCACTGTTCCTCACTCAGCCTCGGCTACTAACTGCTCTCTGAGAAGGCTGCTCCCAGGGGCAGGCAGAACCACACCCTCTCCTGGAGGCAGGGCAGGTACATTCCCATGGTGCCAGGTGCGCAGGCGGACTCCCAGGTGAGACGGCACCTCCCGCTCCCCTCCTTAGAGCCTGGAGCTTTTATCAGTGACCCGGGGCCAGCAATGGGGGGAAAGGCACCTCCAGCTGGGCCTTCTAAACTCAGTCACAGACATGCAGCAGGCAGGGTCCTGACCAAATCTAGACGGAGTGAGGAAGACTGAGTACCAAATCCTGTCTTCGAAAAGCATATGAGGTTGAGAAATGAAAAACTTGGATGCTAGCCTCCTGGGTGGGTGACCCTCATCAATACCAGTAATAGCTGCCTCCAACCCCCACCCTGATGAAAAATCGCCGAGAGTTTTACTCCCGTCATTTCAACCCCAACCTCTTGTTGCAGATGGAACTCAGGGGACAAATAACCTTATCTAAAGTCATCGGAATAGAAGTCGTAGATGAGAAAATGAGCTGCAGAGAACAGTCTCTCACCAGCCAGCGGAAGTGTTTCAAAGCAGCGGAAGGTCTTAGAGTCTTCCCTCTAGTGAGTGAAAGAGGGTGTGGGGGGGGCCAATGGGAGGGGAAGACAGGACGCAAATGCCATGTGGACTGGAACCTGGGAGGATTAGAGATACTAAATAGCTAGAAGAACGGGTAAGCTTTCAGCTAAATAACACCAGACACCATACAGCGGCAACCCACTTTATGAAAGAGGAGGCACTGTCTAGGATATGAATGTGAAAAGAATTAAATATCTCCTTATCTCCCTGTCTTCAGAGACTCTGTGGCCTCTGTTACAAAATGAACAACAAGGCTTACCTAAAGAGGCTATGAAATAAACTTTTCATCTAAAGTTACAGAATCAAATCTTTTATAGGAAGTGCCATCAGAAGAGAATCAAATCTTTTAATATTCCGTCTAAACATCAGATTACTGGCTATGATTCAGATGGGAGAAGACACAACCAACTTCATGTCTACACAGTGTTTTTACAAGTGGCTTAGACACATAAACATGCTTTCAAATATCCTTACAAACACATATATACACAAGTCATTTTAGAAGCTTAATAAATGTTTACTAACAAATGTGTACTACAGTTGTGTGGCCACATCACTCTGGTGGTAGGCCAAATCCCATTCCAGTTTCTAAGGCAACCTTGACTGAATCATGAGCTTGATCTCCCTGATCCCATTCTTTTTCCAGGTAGGCTAAGAATCGACACTCTCCTACCCTTCTGTGTTACCCCAAATATTCCTTGCTGCCAACCACAACGAATGTCCATCCATTCCTCACCTCCAGATAATCACATTGAAAAACAGAGAAAAATGAACAGTAATGATAGCAGTAGTGATAATCACAATAATAGTGGCAGTCACAATGGTAATATTAATACTGGCTAGGTTTTATCGGACACTTGCTATGTCCCTTGTGTATGTGCTAACCTCTCTAGTGTAATATCTGAGTCCTTTTGACACATAATATTTAAACCGTATGTGGTAGGCGCTAGTATGAAGCGTATTTCCAGAAGAGGAAACTAAGGCTTGAAGACAGTGGGTGACTTGCAATGAATGAAGTGACTGTATACATGTGGATCTGTTTCTGGCCTCATTTCCATTGGTCTACTTGTCTATTTTTACTACAATAATCCCACTCTGTCTTAATTACTACAGCTTTTTAATGAGTGTTGGTATCTAGTAGTTTAACTTCTCCAGCTTTGATTTTTTTTTGTCAAGATAGCTATTCTTATCTCTGCATTTCTGCATAAATTTACATACATATACACACTTCAACATACTCCTAGAATTGCTTTTGTGATGGCATTAGATCTACAGATAAATTGTGGGATAACTAACATCTTTACAATACTTGATATTTTAATCCATGAGCATCAGATATCCCTTCATTTGTTTAAATCCCACTTACTTTCTCTCAGTAATGTTTTGTAGTGTTGTGTGTAGAGGCTTTATACATATTTTGATAGATTTATTCCTACATATTTGATGTTTGTGAACCGACCGCAAATGGCATAGCCTAAAATTTTTATTTTTTAATTGTTTATTGGTGGAATATTAAATTACAATTGATCTTTGCATATTGTTCTTAAAACTAGGCTTAGCTAAATTTATTAATTATAATATGACTTGATTCTTTTGGATTTTCTATGTATATAAGCAAGTTGCCTTTGACAAAAGGCAGTTTTGTTTATTTTAAATCCATCCTTCCTTTTTTTCCCTCCCTTCCTCTTTTTGGTCACATTGCATTATCTAGGAACTTCACAGAGTTGAAGAGAAGTCGTGATGGTAGACTTGTCATGTTCCCGAACTAAGCAAAAATGCATTCAATATTTTACCATTAAGTTATGTTGTAACCTATAGAGTTTTTGTAGGTTATATCACTGCTTCTTCGAAAAGACAGGCAGTCTATCATCTTTTATTTATAGCTGATATTAAGATTTTTCTCTTTGCCTTGGTTTACAGCAGTTTTACTCTCTTGTGGCCAGTGTGATTTTCCTTTAATTTATCTAGCTGGGGATACATAATACTTCCTAAACCTGTTGCTTGTGGCTTTCATCAGTTCTGGAAAATTCTCAGCCTTCAAATACTGCCTCTATCCTCTTTTTCCTTTATTCCTCCTCTGGTTCTCTGATGTTAGAATGTCTCCCCATGAGCCATATGTCCTCATGCTGTTTTCTGTACCTGTCAATTCTTTTTACTCAGTATGATTTAGTATGGATTTTTCTTTTATTTTTTTAAGATTTTATTTATTTATTGGTCAGAGAGAGAGAGAGGGGGTGCACAAGCAGGGTAAGTGGCAGGCAGAGGGAGAAGGAGGCTCCCCAATGAGTAAGGAGCCCAATGAGGGACTTGATCCCGGGACTCTGGGATCATAACCTGAGCTGAAGGCAGACACTTAACCGACTGAGCCACTCAGATGTCCCTTAGTATGGATTTTTCTACTGACCTAGACTTCAGCTCATTAATTCTCTCTTTAGTTGTATCTAATCTGCTGTTAAAACAATCTATTGAGCACTTAATTTCAGTAGCGTTCTTCATATCTAGAATTTCCATTTGATTCTTTTTAATAGATTCCAGTTCTCTGGCAAAATTCTCTTATCTTGTCAATTATTTTATTGAATGTATTAATCACAATTATTTAAATATCTGAAACTCCAGTATCTTTATCATCTTTGGGTCTACTTCTATTATTTTGTTTTTCTCATAGTCTGTTTCTCAACTGGTAATTTTTTTATTGAATTCTATATATCAAGAATGAAACATTATAGAGGCTGGGTTCTCTCCTCCCAGAGAGGACTCACCCACTCCTTCAGCCATTAGTGGAGGAGAGCAGATCACCTCAATCCTGTTAGGGACTGAACTGACCACAGCTGGTTAGCAATCTTTGTAAGGCTCAGACTACCTCTGCTTTGTGCTCACTTCTAGGGTACAGGCCTCCTGTTGTCTCAGCTGACAGCCTGGGTTGCTTCCTAAGGTCCCCCTCCTTGGTAGACCCCAATTTTCATCTTTCCAACATCACAGACTGTCAAAAACTCTGCCTTGCCTTTCAGCCTCTATCCTTGTGCAGCTTTATCAAAAATTCATCAGAAGGAAAACTGTTGCCTAGATTTAGATTCTTTCTTCTGAGTTTCTCTTCTCTTGGGGATTTCAGTCCTTCAAGTCCTGGCTGTCTCGGCAGCCACAAACTCCAGTTTTTGTATTCCAGGCTCCAGAAGATTGCCGACAGCTCTGCTGTCTTCTCCTCTTGGCAGTCACTCTCAGGCTTTTTTTTTTTTTTTTTTTTGGTCTCTTGCTCCCCACCAGGAGTCACCTAATGCCCACAGGGGAGAAGCAATATGCAGAAAGGTGGGCTCAATTCAGTGGGCTTCCATTCTCTCCAGTATCTCGCTGTTCAAGTCTGATGCATTTGCAGCAATGAGATGCCTTTAAACAGATGTCTTTGTTTAAATATTCTATCTGCATTTCTAGTTGTTCTTGGTGGGAGCACTGATTTGCAACATGCTACTTCATCACAGCCAGAAGCAGAGTGATTAAGTAACTTTTTGATATTTATGAAGTTTCTACATTTGTCAGAACCTACTTATTTATATGGCTATGACTCTTAAGAGGATTACTTTTCAAAGTGAGCAAAAACATTTCTACCTTTTTCTTCTTAGATCTAG